TGATGATGAATTAATCGAAAACGTTCGTTCGCCTATCTTGACTTCCTGAATTGCTTGTTGAGTTGGTCTGACTGCTCCCCTTTCGAACCAGAAGACGTTTTACGGGTAGCTGCTCTGCTTCCATGAGACAGGTTATGGTTGCGAAAGACAGGCTTATGAGCACGCTTAGGACACTTTTCTGAGGCTTACCCCTGTTAAATGCTAAGTAGCGTTTACCCAATTAGGAATATGTCGGTGTTAAGATGCTGCCGGGTCTCTTTGTTAGTGAGTGCGTTGTTAGATAAAAAAAAATTACCCGAAATATCATGGGCGGCTACGGAGTTGCATTTCACGCATTACCGCAAAACATCAATGGTTGGCGATCCAAAAACACCTTGCAGTTGAAATGATACAAACTTTGCTAGAAGAACGATAGGATGAAGTGGTAAATAAACTCAAAACAAGGCGCCTCATCGACCTCCTGCAAAAGTGTTTGAAGACTTTCTTCACTCTCAATGGAGCTGTTTATTAACAAGTCCAAAGTTCACCGACGGGGTAGCCACAGTCTAGTCTGATAGCTGAGATGGTATTGCAACGAGTGGAGACACAGAATGTTGAGCCCTATCGTCCACAGTTCCGCGTATGGTACGTTGACGACACTTTCTTTATAATACACCCAGACAGCATTTAGAAACTGACGTAACGTCTGAGCTCCATCTTCCCTGCCATCCAATTCACAAGTTAGGAAGGAAAAGACAGTCAGTTGCCGTTTCTCGATGTGCTAGCATTCTGAAAATCGCTGGGGGTACTAAAGTCCATTGTTTATGGAAAGGCAACGAATACCTTACTGACACTGGTAATGATTCCTTTTACGTAACAGTTTGCAGTTTACTTTACATAACTACCCACTTATTTCATTATATTAAGCATGTTCTGTTTAATCATTTCCTACGTTTTTTTGCGTACGGTTACTTTTAGATTTATTAGCTGATGCTTGGGTTTTAGTTTAATAATTTTAGTTTATTTTTCTTTGGTTTAGTTTTAATTTAGTTTACTATTTAGATCAATTCACAACTGAGGACTGTAGCTACATAGAAAATTCTATTGCCGTGTAGAAACGAATTGCACCCAACTGAATCACAAGAAGACTGAGGTTCCGTTTCTGCGAAAACACCATAGCTATCGGACACACTGATAGTTATGTCAAATATATATGCGAGAAATCAGGGAAGAAATGCTTTAGCGCAGTATCTTATATAGTTGGCGTGTCTGAGGGGTTTACTAGACGAAGGAACGAATTTCGGATCGGATTAGCTCAAAAACCAGAAGTTCGAATCCATCGACAACTCATGCATCCTAAGGACCTCACTCCCGTTATTCAGAAGTCTGGTGTCATCTGCCAGACAAAATGCAATTTTTCTCGAACCTGCTTCGCTGGTGAAACAGGTCCGAACGAGATTGTACGAAACCAAGCCAACTTTCAGACGGAAAAATAAACGTCCGCTAGATGCCGTTCACGAGCTCTCGCCGGGGCACAGTTATTATTTCGAGTGCGTGAGAGTAACAAGGTAGTCAGACGAGCGGATTTCGCGTCCATAAAAGGAAGCGTGGCAGTCGACTGCGGACTCCCTCAGTAGGCAAATCGATTTACCGGCTGTTTATCAAGCATTTCTCGATCAACTCAATAGCTTAACTTCGTTGTTCGGCCAGTTTATTTTGCTCCACGTGAGCAAGGGGAAGAGTAAATGCACATGGGTGCGGCCTATAACGGGAGTCGGTCTGTACTTCCCAATCGTTGGAGGGAGATTTCGTGAAGAACACACGTAAATTCACCACGAGGAATTGCTTTAACCGAAAATATGCGTTTATTCTTAAGAACGGTGAACGTTAACCATTAACGCATTGTTCCTTGTATCAAACTGTCTTCGTGTACGAATGCCATTGGAGTTGGCAAACAGTGAGTCGCTACAATGTGTACTTTTGTAAAAACCTATAAATCACGTGCACCCCATGACAACAGCAAGTTGCGCATATAAAAGTGTGGAATTCTACATTTTATAGCAAGAAGCAGGGAGCCGCGTCCATCTTCGAATGTTTTTCTGAACCCGTTGGGGAAATGCGGCTACAAACGGTCTTTATCGTCACAATGTAAGTCAGCGTGTTTTTTTAGATAGAATCAGTGTTCTTCATTTTAGCCAACCGTAACTTTTTAACCCAGAATAAAAATAGAAATTAGCGAATTCTTCCTGGTTTTTATTAACAGTTTAGACGTTTCCTGTCTTCTGCATTCCCGCCTGTGGAAAGGTTTAATGAAGCAAATATTTCTGAACTTATAGCAAATGTGTTAGAAAAAGATTTCACAATAACAGGATCTAAAAGAAGATCCTGCATATTGTAACATCACAATGAAGTTCTGACCGAAATCTCCTTTATATTTCCTTAATAAATATCAAATGGTCCATGGTTTAATTATGCTACCACCCTGTTGGTTTGAGAAATTAATTTCGGACTATTTTATCCTGACGATATTTTTCTACTTTGCTTGCCTCTGTTGCAATTTTTTTTATTTTCTTATAGTGCA